TTTGGTTTGGTTTGGTTTTTCGAGACAGGGTTTCTCTGTGTAGTCCTGGCTGTCCTGGAACTCACTCTGTAGACCAGGCTAGCCTCGAACTCTCGAACTCAGAAATCCGCCTGCCTCTGCCTCCCAAGTGCTGGGATTAAAGGCGTGCGCCACCACCGCCCGGCTAGTAGCCACTTTATTTTAACTGTTATGTAGCATAATTTGAATTTTGGAAGAATTCGATAGAATCAAATAGCTGATTTGGCTCTTTTAGATTTAGTCATATTTTACCAACTTTTTAAAGTTTTATTTCAGTTGTTGTGTTTGGGATTGAACCTAGGGTTTCAAACATGCCAAGCTGGTGGTCTACCATTGATAAATTCTCGTACTCTATTTCTTGTCAATTTTTAACCTTGTATCTCTTTATTTTTTCCTTCTGTCTCTGTTGTTGCTCTTAAATTTTTTTTTTTTTTTTTTTTTTTTTTTTTTTTTTTTTTTTTTTTTTTGCTCTTAAACTTTTGATTGTAAAACATCAGATTAGGACCAGGTGTAGTGGCACACACCTTTCCTCTTAATCCCAGCACTCAGGAGGTGGGGGGGGGGTCTGTGTGTGTGTGTGAGGCCGGCCTGGTGTACAAAGTGAGTTCCAGGACAGCCACTGCTACACAGAGAAACCCTGTCTAAAATAACAACAGAAAACACCCCATTAGATTAGAAAAGTCAATGTATTTTTAGCCTGTTTCTAGGAAAAATTAGTTAGTAAAGCAAGAATAATACTACATATAGAGAAAGTCTGTTCCTGTGTGTTATCTTAAAGTCAGAGCCATATCATATAGTAAGAAACTATACGAGTAAATAAACTCTTCAAAGGCCTGAGTATTTAAGTGACTTTTCTTGTCCATAACTCACATAAAGTTACAGAAGAGCTAGGCTTGGTGCCCCATGCTTGTAATCCTAGCACTAGAGAGACTGAAAAGCTGAATGTGACACATGCTCAGCTGTCACCTCAGTATGAGAGCACAGCTTTTCTCTTAGAAACTTGTCATACTCCGGGGGCGGGGGTGGTGGTGGTGGTGGTGGTGGTGGTGGTGGTGGTGGTGGTGTTTTGGGGGAAGACCTGATAATCTCTTACTGCTTACATTTTTTTTTGGAAATTTTACCTTATAAAATTTTTGCCTTTTTCTAACTTATATGAACATGTGTAAATAAAATCATATATTATGTGTTGTTTATATCTAATTTTTCAACCAACATCATACTATATTCCTAATAATAAGGTACTAGTAATATAAAAATTTTAAATGAAGTAGGAAAAGCTTGGTGTGGTGGCACACACCTTTAATCCCAGTGCTTGGCACAAAGAGACAGATGGATGCAGATCTCTGAGTTCACCCGGACTACATAGTGAGTTCCAGGACAACCAGAGCTACATGCCGAGACCCTGTCTCAAAAAAACCCCAATAATAATAATATGCCTGCCTCAAAAAACCCAATAATAAATTAACAACATACAAAAGTATCATAAAATAACTGATAAATATTTTTTATTTGATAAGTGCTAGGAAATTCATTTGTGTTTTTCCTGTAATTCTCAAAACACTATCTCATAATCTTTTTTCTTTTAAAATTTTTAATTTTTCACCTTTTAAAATGTTTAAAGAAATTATATATATTTTGATCATATTCTTCCCCAAACTCCTCCCAGGTCCCACCTTCCAACTTTATGTTCTTTTTCTTTAACAAAACAGATTTTAGAAAACATCCTTTATTTTGCTGTATACCTAATATTTTCAGTGAGCTATTCTGTAAGAATTAGTTAATGTTGTCCTCTGAAATAACAAATACGAATTTTCTTGTATAAAGCAAAGTATGTCTTCTTATGTTTATAAAATATCATTTAGACTTTATTCTATAACTGTAAAACAGCTGAATCTCTAAACCGATACTTTGTAAAAAATTAGAAAAAAAGATTTAAAATCTTTTTTCTGTCTTTTTTTTTTTTTTTGGTAGGAGGAATAAACATGGTGTGTCGCGAAAGAAGATTGCTCAGATGTTGGATCGTTATGAATTTCAAATGTCCATCTCCATTGTGATGAATTCAGTGGAACCAACCCAGAAAAGCATACAAAGACCCCTTCCTCTCCAGGGGGAACAGAGGTGGGGAGGCTCTCTAGGCTCACGTAGTCAAGTATCTATCGCAGATGACTCTTAAGAAGCTGGCTGTTTTGGCTGACATTTATTACTTTGGAGAACAAAGTAGTGAGCCTGTCTTGATTTTTGAATAGCTTCAAATAAAACCACGCTGTTGCCTCACAAAGGGTGTTCCCTACAAGTTGTTTAGATCCTAAAATACAAATAAAAATTGCATAAAATTGTATTTTAAATGTTTTTATAATGTTTTGTGATAATACTTCTGGTTATTGTGACTGGTAGAATGAAAAAAGAATTAGGATTTTCTTTTTTTTCTAAAACTATTTTAAACTATTTTTCAATACAGTTGAACTGCTTTTTTAGTAGTTCGTACTTTAAATTTTTATAAAACCTAGCATTTTCGATGTATTACCCTAAATATACAGAAATACCAGCTTTTATAGAGTACTTTATAGTTGATTCCTTTAATTTGGCATACCAGTAATTATGTTTCAGCTAATTCATAATGTGACAAAATTAACTGTAAGCCATAATTAGCATTTCAACTTAGTTTATACAGAATTTCCCAGCAAATGTTAGACAGTGGGTATACTGATCATCTCCTGGATCATTTATGCACATACGATGCCCATCTCTATTGTGATAAATTCAGTGGGACCAACAGAGAAAAGCATATGAAGACCCCTTCCTCCCCAGGGTTGAACACAGCAGGGGAGGCTCTCTATTCTCTAGGTTCACATAATCCAGTGACAGTATATATTGTTCTCACGCATTCCGTACTCCTTTCTAATTGGATTTGTAGAAGGGCAATAGAGGTAAGGCAAGTCATATATTTTTTAAAAACCTGGCAGGTGGTTCTGATAATGGTTCAGTTTTTTTGGTGTTGTTTAATTTGATGTAATATAATTCTGATATAAAAATATTTTGGACAGTTACTTAGTGCTGGCAAAGAACATTTGTCCTGCAAAGTATGTTTTCTCCTGGTTCTAGTTCTTACTGTGAAGCCAGCTGTTTCTTTCACTGAGTGGCTTCCTTCCTCAGATTATATTCTTTTACTTAGAATTTTAGCTATATCTTTTCGTTTTAGAGCCTTGTAATTCATGTCCATCTTCAAACACAGTTTTGCCTCATCTGTTCCTAAAGAATAGTGCAGGAAAAAAACTCGACCACCTCTTACTAAAATACCTTTGTTTTCAGTGTTGTATAGAAAATCTTTAATCTCTGGTTTATTTTCTTAAGAAAAAGTTTAGTTAATTGCAATGTGATTTCAACTGTTAATTTATCATGATCCTATGTATGCTTTGCATATTAATATTTTATGACTTTCAACCTTTTTCCTAAATAGCCTACCTTAAATCACGTAATCTTTGTGTGCTATCTTAAAACATTTTGCTGATTTTTTTTTTCTTTTTTTAAGTTGTGAGACTGAAAACTAGATACACTGTTGCAGGCTAGGTCTTTTCATTACACTGCTGTTAGTAAGACGCTGACTGCTATTTACCTGACTGCTTTGTGCTGCTCATATGTTAGTAGATCCCAACTTGTTTAGCCACATGTGTGTCTGTATGTAATTTGTTATCTTAGCTAAACACATAGTAAAAATATGAAAACACATGTTCGTGTGTAGGTATATATGTATACATACATTATACATAGCTTTTCAACATAAGATTGCTTTTTAATTTAGATTTGTATTTTCTAGTATGTTACTTAGAATTGCACAGTTTGAAAATCATACTAAAAAATTAAGCTTAAGGATAGATAGGTAAAACAACTGTTAGTTATGTTGTGTCTTTAAGAAACTTTATTCAGGACTGGAGACATGGCTCAGTGGTTTAGAGCAAGTGCTCTTCCAAAGGACTAAAGTTTGATTCCCAGCACCCATATGAGGTGGCTCATAACCACTTGTAACTCCAGTTCCATGGACTGTGATGTATTAGTCTCCTATGCGCCTGTACTCATGTGCGTAGCCTTGCACGGACACACGTGGTTAAGGAGCTTCATTTCAGACTCATAGTGCTATTAATCTAGTGCGGTGGGGGTTTTGGTTGTTTTGTTTTGCTATGGTTTGATTTCTCAAGACAGGTCTTCTCTGTGTAGCCCTGGCTCTCCTGAACTCACTTTGTAGATCAAGCTACCCTCAAACTCAGAGATCTACATGTCTCTATCTCCCAGATTCTGGGATTAAAGTATGCAACCACCATGCCCAGCTAATGTTGTTTTGAATAATAAGCTCTTAGTTATCCAACTTTTTTTTTTTTTGACAGAATAGAAGCTTGCCTTTGAAAGATACAGATTATGAATAAGTAAATTTCTAGATTTTTTTTGACAGATATATTTCCTTGAATTTCTGATTAATATCATTTAATTCAGGAGGCAGGGAAGCAGACAGACCTGAGTTTGAGGCCAGCCTGGTCTTCAGAGCAAGTTCAGGATAACTAGAGATATATAGCGAGACCTTGTCACCCTTAAAACAAAACAAAATCGTTCTAAGATCATTAATCATTTCTGTGTAATTTTTAAAATTATGAATTCTATTTAAAGCAAAGAAGTCAGCATTCTTTAAGACCCTTTGAAGGTAGAAAGCTGGTTAAGCATTGTGACTGATTTTTTAAAAAAATAAATAATAATGAGTGACTATGCAATGGGCATTACTAAAATCAACTCATCATAAGACATTGGGTGCTAAAAAGTCAGTGCAAAATTGTCTGTTTGTTTTCAGCATCTTTTTCTTTTGTTTGAATGTAATGTAAATGCTACTAGTACCACACCTTACTGTAGTGTGATGTCCATTGTAGAGAATTGAGTAACCATTAGTTGCTGTATTTAAAATATGTCACACGGCTTCTATTCTAATTCAATAAGATCAGATTAGAATTAGTTGGAGTTTTCTTTGGTTTTAGCCTTTGAGTAAAATTAACTACCTATGTGATAAACACGTTTATAGTTATCTTTGTTATAGTCTTGTTACTAAAGCACTCGATATTATGTTGAACTTTAGTATTGCTTTTCAAGTAGGTAGTTTTATTTCCTTTAACCTTCATTAAAGAAAACATTGCTTTATGTATTTTATCTGTTTAAAAGTAAAATGAAATAAAATAATCGAGTTTGTTGTTGAAGTGACAGTTAATTTAGGTACTTGAAGCTTGCTTATTTCTTATCTAATATAGATTATTGAACTTTCTAGTTTTATATATTGATAAATTTCAAAAGGATTCATAATTTCAAATGAAATTTATGCTGTCTAAATTTTCTTCAAAGTGTTCATATTTTTTTAAAATGTTATTATAAAATGGTCAGAATCCAGTTTTCTGAGTAATGATAAATAAGTAGTGTGTAAGCTGCCAGGTGGGTGCTGGGAACTGAACCTGGTCTTCTTCATCACTGAGTTATTTCTCTGCCTTCCAAATTGTCAACTGTTTTAAGCCTAAAGAATTCTCACCATTTTGTGCTTTGTAAATTTCAGAGGAAAGATTGAGTGGTTTATTAGTATTGATTTAGTGCAGTTAAACTTTAAAAACTTGTGGAAGAATGATTGTAGTTTTCAGTGTCTAGATTATAATGAATAGAATATGTGTGTAAATAATGATTTAGAACAACCTTTTTATGTAAATTCTTTTTTTTTTTTCTTTTTGTTTTTCGAGACAGGGTTTCTCTGTGTAGCCCTGGCTGTCCTGGAACTCACTCTGTAGACCAGGCTGGCCTCGAACTCAAAAATCTGCCTGCCTCTGCCTCCCAAGTGCTGGGATTAAAGGTGTGTGCCACCACTGCCCGGCTTTTATGTAAATTCTTAACACATTGTCACTTTCAGGTTTCATAGAGGAAAAAGAGGATGTTGTGGCACAAATAACTCTTAGTGTTTTGTGCATTTTTAATTGTGCCAGCATGTGTTTGCATGCATGCATGTGTGTGCCTGTGCAGTCCCTGCATTCATTCATGTGGAGGTCAGAGAACAGCTTAGAAGAATTAGTTCTCCCATCATGTGAGTGAGGGTCTGGGATCAAACTCAGATAGTTGGATTTGGTGGCAAGTGTCTTTACCCACTGAGCCATTCTTTCTCCCACAAGGTAATTCTCGGGGAAAAGATCATTGTCAACAGTAAAGAGAATGGTTCTTATCTTTAAAAAAAAAAAAAGCATGGTTTCATATAACCCACAGTTGGTTTCAAACCTATTGCATAGCTGAGGATGACCGTAAACTTCTGATCCTCCATGCTGCTATCTCCTCCCAAGTGTTGAGATTACAGGCAGGCATCACCATTCTTTCTTGAATTGGGAAATTTTAATTGCTCTTTTTATATGTTTAATAGAAGTTTTAGTCATTTGTATTAAGAATAATCTGTTTTTCTTCAAAGATTTCTTATTAGTAACCCTGTCACATTTCAGGTGTTGTATTGCAATGATTATATACATTATACACCTCTAAGCACGGGTTTTATTAACTTCAATAAGCTGTATTAAAAACAAAGTATTTTTTTGTAGCTGGGACATGCAGAACTAGACAAAAACCACATTACCCAGCATTACACTTATTTGGTGGGAACTGAAGACTTTGTGAACTTTTTGTTGAGGGTGATAGTCTAGCTCTTTTTCTTTTTTTGTTTTTTAGGACGGGGTTTCTGTGTGGCCCTGGCTGTTCTGGAACTCACTCTGTAGACCAGGCTGGCCTCAAACTCACAGAAATCCATCTGCTTCCCAGTTGCTGGGATTAAAGTCTAACTCTTAGTAATTCTTTCTCTTGTTCACTTTTTTTTTTTTTTAACAAAGTTTTAACACCTTTTGTAAACTAATGGGGAGACTGAGAAAGAAGCTCCTGGGTTGCTCGCCTCTCAATTGTATTTGTGGTTAAACTTGTTCTTACATTTAGTTAAGTTCATTAAAAGATTAGGGTTTGGGCAGTGCTTCTTGTGTTGTAGTCTTAGTTCATCTCTAGTTGGAGTTCTGAACTTGGGTTTGGTTTGTTTGTGTATATATCAAAATGAAAGAACATTTGTTTAGGAAGGGCTTGTAGATTCTTCTTTTTTCTTAATAGTTTTAGAAGTCATGTTTCTTTTCTTTCATAGTCTTTTTCTGTATGTACTTTTCTTCTTTTTTCTGCTTAGCAGTCTTCCTGTAGCCACGTGACATTCTTAGTGATGTTGGTGGGTAAGTGCCTAGAAAAACTATGTAACTGCTTTTTCCTTCCTGTGATCCACTGAACCCAGTGTCTCCGTGAACTTCACCTGTG